TGCCGCCTAGATGGTTGTATCTTTGCAACGCTCGTGTGCATAGAATAGACTTCTCCTACATGTTCTTTGATATGAAAGGAGTGGCAAAGAAAGGAGTCAACAGCGTGTGTGTTTTTTTGAAGCATGCAATTGATCGATGTTTGGGCAATGAGAGGCACAAGTAAATAGTCCTGCATTCTAACGCTTGCGGTGGACAAAATCAAAACTACACAGTATTTTTCTTTTCATTTTGTGCCATCTTGGCAGCATCTGTGCACGTCATTGTCATTCAGGTGCTCCCCGTTCGCGGGCATTCATTTTCAACTTCTGACCGAAACTCTGGCTCGTATGCGAAAGTTTTCAAGCGAATGGAAGCTGTAGAGAGCCCAGAGAACTGCGTGTCCGCAATTCAAATGTCAAGAGAACCACCATTCAAAATGGTTAACGCAGGGAAGAAACCCATCATTATTGAGAAGAATGTCCATCGATCGCTATCGAGAAATGAAAATTTCGGAAGTTTGCATGATTGAGTACCAACAAAGTTACGCAAAACTTCACCGGAACTATTCGTTGATTTCAGCCTTCGCTCATTCTGCTTATTGTAGAACGACGTTGAGTGAGCTGTTTGCTGAAGAAGGAAGTCTTCCCCTCTCTCCCCGAAAATCGGAGTGTCATCGGCCAAAGCGAAGGATGGGAGGAAGCTGCTTCGTTATGTCTCTGCTGGAAAGCGGCCAGAATTGGAAGAGTACCTCCAGCATATCAACGGCGTCACTGACAACGAAAATGATTTTGACGTAGACTAAACAGGAGATAAAGACTCTCGCGAAGTCTGAGTAAAGGAAATCCTACCGTGTGCATATAACGCAATAAAAAAGTATTATGTTACAAAATCAGTGGTGACAGGCAATAATGGTACAAGTTTGCTTTGTACGTTCACCTTTATATAACCAAATTTTTCGCATTCTTCTGCACATTCAAAGTTTGCAGCAAATATCATGGTAAATCAGAAAAGGTGCGAAAAAAGAATGAGTGACATTGAGCACATATTCTTATTTTTCCAGCCAGAGAGAAACCTTTATTTTCAATTTTATCAGATCAATATTTTTGAACTTGTACCACTGTTGTACGTAGCCCCTCAGTTGTATTGCGTAAATAAAAATAACTTTATTTTCATATATTACCGAGTGACTTCGAAAATAAAAGTTGCAGTGTGTAGCTTGCTTAATCCTCGGACCCCTGAAATAGTCAGCTGGCAGGCTGCAGAATGTACACGATGCGGACAATATTGACATAAGTGACGAACTACTAAAAAAAAAAAAAAGAAAACGACTAATATGCATTTTTTTATGGAAAAACAAATTGAAATTGCTTGCAATTACTATGCTACACATAAAAAAAGACACCAAGAACAAATTAGAAAGCACACAGATGTAAACGCAAAACGTCAATGTTTATTGGCAACTCCAGCCAGCAACTCGCCCTCTCGCGGACGGGGGAAGAACCAGTGGACCAGGGAGGGTTGCGAATACGGTGGCAGGGACTGTTCGTTTTTGTGCTGCTGTTCTGGCAAGTGTGTTCGCGCATCATAAAGTTAAAAAAAAAAACGAGTGCTTTAATACAGGAATTTTTGTGGATTGCCTTGAAACAGGATTGCACGAAGGGCCCGGGATGTTTAATTTTATTAGGGGCTTTTAGGTAGATCGCATACGCCGCGGATTTCCGGACCTGCGCTCGCATTCACAATTTTTTTGCTCAACGTGACGGCGAATGCTTGCACGAGGAGTGCAAAGATCTTGCGTACGATCTACTAAAATCCTATTCTATCCAGGGAGCGTAGGAGAGGACCGCTCGCTCAATGGTGCATCAAGCGATAGACACCGGGAATGGCTTCGCATTTTATACGCTGAAAGGCTGTGACAAGGATCATGACAGTTTGTTCCGCACACTTCCAAAAGACCGGCTACGCGTACCTGCTGTCAATTAGTTACAAAAGTAAATAAAGAAATACATGCAGAAGCTTTAAGCGCGTTTGTGCAGCCATCGTGAGGAGTGGTTGAAATAAACAGTTTTGTCGAGGCGGGTCACATCGATGCTAATAACACGTGCACAGATATAGTATGCTGTATATTTGTATATTGCTTTTGATAAAGCAATAAATAAAATTCCTAAACATGCATTTTGTTTATAGCGTTTTCACAGGACAGCAGGCATGTCAACGCTCCTGGCGCGCGCTGGAAATCATTCTTCAAAGGAGCCGCATGTACTCCTGGTCGCAATGCCACACCTGCGGTTTCGCTATGCTAAGACTGTCTATTAGTAACCATGCGGAAGGTTTATCACACGTTGCAATGCACTAAAACCGCGACGGTGTGTAGTAAGCAGTGGGCAGTTGACATCGTGATATCAATACTGCAAAAGCTGCTCTACCGGAGCTTGGCGTTCACCCCGTGTGGCTCAATATTTAAAGCACTTGTGGCCAGGCACAGTGCAAACACCACAATATTTTCACCACTCACACACTTTTTTTGCCACATACAATGACGTGACCGGCGCCAAAACGCGCTCGCAATCCGGAAGCCTCACAAATTCTGTGTTGTTTCCGCAACTTAAAAAAGAAAAAAAAATGCGTGTTTTTTTTTCCGCACGTAAAAATGACCGTTATTTGTGATACCCTCAGGCCCCTGACCGTTTTGCATTTGTAGTCAAGTAAATTAATTTAACCACACGAACCAGCAGTGAGCGAGCAGGCGTATGGACGATCCATCCTCGTTTCTTGCGCCATCTTGTAACTAAAGTCCCTCGATTTGTATGCGCTTTTATCGCTTTTAAACGCTTTTATCAAGGGACTTTACTTGTAACTATACCGCCCCGCCACCTGGAGTGGCGAAAAGCTTCTTAGAGTACGTATTATTGACAAAGGTGCTATCTTACAAACGTGGATGATTAATCAATTTAAGCATTTGCAAGCCATATTCGCTTAGTGACAATTCTTCACTCCTCCGAATGACCTACATAGACATTAAACGTATCTTCAGCGACGTTACGTTTCCCAGAAATTAAGTACTCTTCATGTGTTCCCTCCTAGAACACTACACAGCGGATTCGTATATATGAAAAAAAGAAAACAATATTTATCTGAGTTTTTTTATATAAATATTTTAGCAGTGTGAAAATTATAACCAACATCACAGATGCAACTGAAAACTTGCAGGATAATTTTTGTTCCGCATTCGTAATTCTGGATGAACCCCAAAACAAGGTTGCAGTATGTAAAATGGCAGAGCGATAAAGGACAATAGACGCTTTACAGCAGCTGTGCATGGGCGCCGCCATAACTGACCTTCAGTTTTTGTTCCCTCTTATTCCGTTCGCTTCACTTCATCATTACCACAGTAGGACAGGTTATTGCGATTTTAGATGCTACTGTGTTCTTGTGCCCAGCATAGGCCCTTCTGAAGACCCGTCGAGGCCCGCTTCAGTGGCTCGGCATCTCGGTAAGACAAGAGAAGGGCAGCTATGGCGGCTCAATCTGGCGCGTGTGTAAAGCGTCTATAGAAAAGCAGCTTAGCATTCGCTGCCAAAGAAGAGAACGACGTAAATTTGCGTGCTACATTGCACGAGCTGGCTTCGCAATGAGATAGTTTATATAGATATTTCACGACATGTTCTCATTAAAACCATCCCGAGATTTTTTTAAGAAACAAACCTTGGACACACGTCAGAAAGACGTCTAACTTTGCACAACCTTGGTAGTCCTAGGAGCTTAACTTGGGCATTTTACAGTTTTGTTCCAAGGCGTTAGTGCCAGGGTATTAATTTCTTTCGCGTTCCAATGATTTTTGTTCTGGCTCGCCATATCATTGCAGAAGTGCCAGATTTAAGCCAAGGCGTTGCCAAAAATAAACTAAAAAACCAAAAGTGAAACCTAAATCTGGTATCTGTTTGGCAATTTAGGCCCAAAGTTTCCAGATGAAATCCGTACCAGAAGTGGGGCCTAGCTCTAGCGTGTGTTTGGTTATTCATACCCAGTGGTCGTACCAACGTGTTTTTTAGTTTGGCAAACCAGTCCTCCCCCCCCCCCCCCCTCCAGGGCCCTTGGGGCGGTGCTCTTGGTATTCCTTGAGCGCCGCCGGCCAATGTTTGCCCTGCCCAGTGGCGGCTGTTTCAGGGGGGGGGGGGGGGGGAAACACATGCCTCCCCCCTCCCCACTCTGAGAACTGGGGGGCAAGTACCCCCTTGCCCCCCCCCGCCCCCCCCCCCCCCCCATTGGTACGCCTATGTTTATAGACAAATTATGCCAGATGACAGCGAAATTACTACTAGCAGTGAAGCCTAAATTTGGCGCTTCGAAGATTTAAAGCCAAGGTAGCCAGTTTCTGGCCAAATAACGTGGTGTTTGGCGCTCCCTTGACTTCTTTGGGCGTTTTGAAGCTCCAATTTCACAGACAAAAATCAAAGCTAAATATCTGTTATTTGTTAAAAATTGTAGTTCATTTTTACTAGTGTTCACTTTTATAGAGTAGCTATTACCCAAAATTTCACGCTAACTAGTCTAATTTACCTTATGAATTTGTATATTAAAAGTATCACATGAAATGCTATACTCACTTCATCGGCGTGAATTGCAAACTCAGCCTCAGCATTTGTTTTAGAACGCAGCTCTTACGGCGCATTCACACTGGATGCGGATCCGCGTTCGCGAAGCGTTTGCGGATGCGGTTGGCGAACGGCTCCGTTCACATACACCAGAACGCGATCGGCGGTTTCTCGGCGGTTACCGATTGCTTCGCCATCTTTCGAGACTTTCGTTTGGCAACCATGTTTTACAATCCAAAATCCACTCTGCTCTACAATCCAAACTCAAGCCGAATCCTCTCGGCTTGCGGCTTGGAAAGAAGCATGGACGACTCCACGAGCGACGGCAGTGACGAAGAAGCTGTTGCAGTTGCTTTGGTGACGCTAGTTTTGGCGTCCGCTGAAAAAAGCGAGCGGCGTCGTCCTCGTAGATGGTGGGTCCGTCCTTGCCTCCGTGACCGTGACGAGAATGGACAGGGGGCGAACCTCGTTCCCCTTCTTCGCGAGCGGGACCTTGAGTACTACCGGGAGTAAGTAATTCGTTCGCTTTAGCATTGCCTACTCGCATAAAGACAACATCCCAGATCGATCATGCATATGACGTTATTTTACTAGCTTCCTGAGGATGCCTCCCAGCGCCTTCGATACAATCCTCGGCTTGATCGGCGACAGAATCAGGAAAGAGGACACGAACTTCCGCAAGGCCATTCCTCCGGACGTGCGCCTCGCCCTCACGATCAGGTAATTGCCAGCGAAGTAGGTAGCATTAGATTGAATGCGGGATATAAGGAAAAATGTGTAGTCATGCAAAGAATGCAGACGCATGTACAGCCTCCAAAGTTTTTAACGATGTCGCACGAACGCCGACGGGCTGGTAGATCAACACGAAATAGGAAATCAGCGAGGCTAGGCGTCCGTGTACGCCTCGACCGGCCGGTCAGCGTTCGCGCGATATTGTTGAAAAATCTGGAGGCTGTACTTTCGTAATTACTGGGTTGTACCGAAGTACGTGTCATTTCTAGCCGTCGTGAGTTCTCTCTATCTCGTTGATGATGGGACAGCCAATAATACAGATGCAGGAGAGCACACATCGTTGACGCAAAAAATTGGAAATTAAAAAAAAATGGTAATTGCTTCATGTTGCTATTATGGTTTAGCCTGCGCCTGTTTATAGACGCGTTCTTTTGCCTCTGTGACAACGCATTCCCAGCAGTCGGGGAATATTCTGATTTGTGGTGATGTTAAGTGTACTACTGCTTTCAATATGAATGTACTAATTAAATTCTGCCCAATGTATACTTGGCAGAAATCTCATTTCTTTATTACTGCTCTTTTTTTTTCTTCTTTTTATTAAGGTTTCTTGCCGCTGGGAAGACGTTGAGAAGCGTATCCTACAACTTCTTGACGTCAAGGTCAACATGCTGCGAGATAATACCCGAAGTATGCAGCGCCCTCTGGGAGGTGCTTGGGCCTGTCTATGTGGCATGCCCAAAACAGCCCGAACAGTGGAAAAAAGTAACTTTTTTTTATATCAGCACTGCTCACCTCCTCTCTTGTTTGTGCACGGGTAATATAAATAGCGATCATGCAAAGCTCTAGAAAAATGTTCACCTGGTGTAACTTTGCCCAATTGCAGTGTAATTTTCGTTGTTCTGTGGTGGGAAAATTGCTGGTGTGACACAAATCAGTGGCCGTGTGTGTTAGTGCACCGCAGCTCAGAGCACGTGGAGCGAAACCTTGTGCTGTATGATACAGGGATCCTGTAATCAATCACCACGCCTACCCATTTCGATCAGATTGGATGAGCATCATACCGGCGTCTGGCCGTGTATGACTACTGTGTTATGCTCGTTAAAGACCCCAGCATGAGCTTCCGGAAGTGGGTAAAAGCACGGGAGGCAGCTGAAATTAAAAGGCTGACTTGGTGCCAACAGCTGCTTTGGTCACGCTTGGGAGGGTCCTTGGAGGGGGATTAAAGCAGCTGTTGGCACCAAGTCGGCTCTCCTTTTCGTCCGATAGCGTCTCTTGGTTTTGGTCATTGTTGGGGGCGTGTACCTCTGTAGCGTCATGTCGACTCCAGAAGCCTCCTACCTCCATGTATGAAACAAACATGCTTCTAAGGTGCTTGAGGCGTGTCCACAGATTATTCGCTCATCGCCTCTGCAGCGAATAACGTATGTTTTGCATGATGTATGAGCAGTGCGACTGCGGCTTTATGGTTCCTACTTGTGATGGCGTAATAATGCGGAGAGCAAGTTCACCTGCCTGCTTCTTGCACAGGGGCTGCGTTGATGTCAGAACGCCGAGCTTTTATTAGCTGGTTGAAAATTGAAAAAAAAATAGGGAGTAGACCTCGAGGCATCTACATTCAGGTCTCCTACTATCTTTTCGAAATTCAGTCAAAGCCAATTAGAGCTCGGTTTTGTTCTGACATCACCACAACTTCTGCACAAGAAGCAGACAACTTGCTCTCTGCATAGGGTTATCAAATGTGAACGACAAGCTGTACAGTTTTGAGTGCTGCAACACTCAAATATTTTCTGCCAATGAAAAATTTATGAGGTACATAGACTATTTCTCATGTCTCGTGCTGACCAATTCTTCTGTGCATCCTAGCAGGCTGAAGCTTTCAAGGAGAATAAGAAGTAATGTTGAATCTTTATTTTTTCCTTTTTCAATAGATCGCCACTGAATTCGAAGAAAGGTGGAACGTTCCAAACTGTGTGGGAGCCATAGACGGCAAGCACATCACTATCGAGTGCCCTTCACTCTCTGGCAGCCTGCATCGGAACTACAAGGGATCTTTCAGCAAGTCCTTGTTGGCAATTAGTGATGCTAAGTACCGGCAAGTTTCGATTTTTTATTACTAAACGTTAAGTTAATGTACAAGGCAAAAGATATGCATATACAGAATAAAGGCGACAAGTCCCCTACTTTAAGGCAAATTATCAGGAAAGTAGATATAAAAAAATATCAGGTTGAAAAAAGAAACACAACTGCTCAAAACCGAAACCGGACTAGGGAGGAAGAAGAAATATAGAGGAGGACAGAGTTGGCAGAAGTCACGTGCCTGTGCAACTTGTTTTCTTCAGTCACCATATTTGCGGCTTTTTAGAAGCCACAAAAATTGGGTATCATAAACCATAGAAAACAGCACATGACCATAAAGAAGAAAGTGGGTGCGACTCGAACCGGTCAGTTCTTGATTAGCGGTTTTCGGGCGGAAAGAAACCGAATTTTGAGCCGCAAATTGTGTTCTGGGTTGTTGGGCTCTTGTATGTCATGTACAAATAAAAACCTTGGAAACCATAAATACCCCGTCAGTGTCCCTTTAAAGGGCAACTCCGCTCAATTCGAAGCATTTCGGGATATTGAGTTATTTCACATTAAACAGCACTAATAAAGGGCACTACGTTATTTCCTTTGTGAAAAATGAGATATATATTGTACAATCTTATTCTATACATGAGCAGAAATCAAAACCGAAACTTTGGCTTCGTCAGAACGTTGGCCTCGGGCCGCCAAAGACGAGGTACGAAATGTCACATGATCCTCTACGCAATGACGGGCGGCCCCCGGTGGGGCGAGCGTACGCCAGGCGAAAGCGTTATCTGCACCACACTCCACCAATTTTTGGTGTCTACTACATTGAACGAAGGGGTCACAACTTTGGCATCAGTCTTTGCACGTGATGTGAACAAGCTCTCAGACATAATATTCACAAACGGTGAGAGTGAGATGACGACGACAGTTGTGACTAGGGTGACCACTTTCCTGCCGGCGGAATCCGGGACACCCTGACCGGGGGAGGGGGGGGGGGGAAGGGGGGAGAGTAAGAAAAGGACGGTATGTTCACGACCCAAGAAATAAGTATTAAGGGAAATTCACCAACGCGCACACCCCGAAGTCCTGTGCTGTCTGAAAGCGTATTATGCACCTGAAAATTGTACGCGGCAATTGCGGCAATTAAACTAAGATAAGTTTCACTCGCAGTGATATACTTTTGTTTATTTGTAATCGTATCTAAGTTGAAAACATAAAGATTGACTGCACCAGACAGCAATGCATCAAAAGAAAATAAAAAACAGTAACTATTTTTCGGCTTATTGTTTACTGTCGATACTTACTCTTATATTAATATGCTCCTACACAAAAATAAAACCTTATGTTTTTTTGTTTATTTTTTACCGTTGTGAGTTGCAGGTTTTTTGCCTTCTGTGGCCGTCTTCACTAAAAACAAAGAAGAGCTTTCCACAACAACCTTTTCTCATGATACAGTATGATTTCCAACTAATTACAATAGTTTATTTTTCCGCTTTTGGCGAGCAATTTTCGCTTGCAATATTTTGCCATCAACGGGAGAGGCACAACGGCGCATGTGCGTCAGGTCTCCTGCAAGAACGAAGGTTGCTTCCCGCAGTGCTTGGCAAGAAAATGACATACCATCGAGATTCACACATTTATCAGCGACCTCCGCGGTTCCCCGTTGCCCGTTGTTCGGAAGCGCCACAATTTGCGCAGTGAATGTTACGACAATGTGAAATGCGGGACATTTTGAAGATTTCAGAATTTCTTGCGGGACGTGGGACACGAGCCCTCAATGCAGGACAGTCCCGCGAGTCGCTGGACGGGTGGTCACCCTAGTTGTGACGCAGGAAACGGAGGAGACGGCCGGACGGCTCCCAAGAAGCACGCTGCGTAGGCATGTTACGATAACCACGTGAACGCCGCTGAGCACAGAGAGGACATGTTGCAGGCGTAACATGTTATGCTCGCCGAAAGTGTTAAAGGGGTAGTACAACAATTTTAATGTTGAAAGAATGGGCACCTTGTATTTTTCATAATGTTTATGAAAGCTCAAGTAACCAAAAACGTGTCTACTTGCCCCGAAAATCTGCTATTCCGCTGCGTAAATGCAAAGAAAATACTAATTATTTGCTGCTCTGCAGTCGCATGTCGCGCTTACGGGAACTACGATGACATTGTCTCTGGGTATATGTGAAAGTCAACCAAACCTGTCCCCCCCTGCTGCCACACTCGCTGTCAGCCGAGTGGCGAACCGTCTTTTGTGTCGATCGCTCGCCGCAAACCTTCAACGATGCTAATCCTTTACAAGTCGATAGTTGCGGAGGAAGCAGCTGGCGTCTCTGAAGCGAGTACCGATGCACATAGAGTGAAAGCTCAAGCTGCGGAGCCCAGCAAATCATGGGTTGAATCCCCAACTCTGCCCGGTTTGATCTATATTAGCATTGTACTTGCATGCAGCCAAATATCATTGCTGTGTGGTGCTGAATAAAGGGATAGTGAACCGAAATTAGGATTTCAGAAAACAATGCAGGAGCTGTAGGCGGGACGCTGCAATCCCTACAAAACTACTCGTAAGGTGATATCTTGAATGGACAGCCGTATTTTCGTAAAAAGAGATTGAGATTGAACGAGGCCGACGAGGTGAGTGATGTGAAGATATCTCGTTTCCTCCTCTCTTTGCTTTGCCCCCTCAAGGTGGCGAGGCGGAGAACATGCGAGGCCGTTCCCTCTCCTTCTCGGATAATCAAGACGTAAACATTTCTGTCAAATGCGCTTCTTTTTTTTTTTTTTTCTTTTTTTTTTTGGGGGGGGCGGGGGGGGGGGGAGGGGGGGAATACGGCCATCCGTTTTAGATATTGCTGTACGAGTGATATTTTGGTGTCTGTAGCATCCCGTTACACGCTTTTGCCACCGTGTTTTCTGGAATCCAGATTTCGGTCCAGCATCCCTTGAACGAACACAGGTTAGCGGTTTGTATTGCACTGGTTAAATTTATAATCTACAGCCCAGATGCCCGCTGCAGCTGACTAACTTTCAGCTGTCTGTACATACACACAGCACAATTATTATTATGAGGTCTAGCTCTTGCATTTTAGTTGGTTACTGCTAATGTTAAAAAAAAATCCCATTCTTATCCCAGGTTCCTCTACGTTGAAGTTGGCCATCACGGAAGTGAAAGCGATGGGGGCATCTTTGCCCGCAGCAAGATCCAGCAGCTCATCGTCTCTGGGGAGCAGGGACTGCCTTTTCCAACAGCTGTTGGAGAGGAAGGGGAACTACCCTACTACCTGGTGGGGGACGAGGCCTTTCCGCTAAAACCTTACCTGATGAGGCCATACCCAAGAAAAAGTATGTAATGCCTGGCTTTTTTCATGTCGTATTTGTAGCATATCGTTCAAGAATAAAATAATGAACACCATGCCGCCACCTTTTATTGTAGTTGAATACAATTGTTTGAGAAAAGACATTTATCACTAATAGACCGTATTTACTCGAGTAATAGCCGCACTATTTATGGACAGGGCTTTTGCATCTACTTTCCCACAGAACACATATACAGCCAATCATTGCACTGAGCATAAATAACATAGCGAATAGCCAGATCGAGAACACTATTCTCCATGCAAATGCAATCTTCGCAGATGGTATCTTCGCATGAAGACATTATCTCTGTGCTGTAAACAGCTGGTGCTTCGTCTCGGGCGATTCTGGTTTTTGCGCATGCGCAGTGCGCACACCTGGTGGGGGCAAACGCGGGCTTGTTCGTAAACAGTGTGCTGATAGATAGACTATACATGGCTTGCACTCGTGTCACATCAGTGGGCATCGTGAAAAACCTTGCCATTGTGCATGTACCCTGTGCAGGTTATGCTTTCGCACCACAATTTTTTTTCTCGCAGCCAGAACAAGTAGGTATGACTATTGCTGCAGTGCGAGGACATCACGTGCAAGCAATATAAAAATGTTTTGGCTTGATTGCAGAAAGCAGTCCAGCCCATAAAGCCTATAACCCTGTGTTTTCGTTCTCGTCCGTGTTATGCACAATTTCTTTTATTATATTTCCACAAATGTAGTAATTTGGCCACACAAGCAAGCTACCCACCAGATATTATCTCATTATCGGGAATTTAAATGACATTATAATTGCATGACCTTTATTCATTATGACAATGTTACAACATGCACTCTTTGTCTGGAGTGATCTTCAGCAGCTTCGTAGTTTGGTTATTAGGAAAGATTAAAAAACTTATAGAAAGTTTTCATTTGCACTTTTATCCTCCTTTGTATCATGCTCATGCAACTTCACATTACCACATTTTAGGTGCCCTTTCTTGAAGACTTCACAGCTCCTTTGCTAAGATATTGGCTCTAACATTACAGGCCTCACTGCAAGAGCTGAAGACACTCAAGCTACTGCCTCAGAACCGTCCAATGAAGAACCACAAGACGATGGAGTGGATGACCAGCTTCCAGATGATGAAGGTGACGCAAGTGACCAAGGAAAGAAAAGGGAGTTGAGGCGGCGACGGAAGATTTTTAATTACCGCTTGAGCCGTGGCAGGAGAGTCGTAGAGAACACGTTTGGAATTCTCGCCCAGAGGTGGCGAATATTGAGAAGACCCTTCAGGGCAAGCGAGGTGAATACTGACAAGATTGTTGCAGCCTGCGTTGTCCTTCACAATTTTTTGCTAAAGGAGTCTGAAGCATCGGCTGCCGCCTACTGCCCTCCTGGCACAGCCGACCAGGAGGACTGGGAAGGTCGAACAACTGAGGGCACGTGGAGAAGGGACGCAGCCAGCAAGAACGCTGGACTGAGAGGCATCCCCAGAAGAGGCTACAATTCAGCCAAGTATGTTTAATTTTACTCGGTATGTTACTATAGTTGTGTTTATTTGTGTCAGGCTAGTAGAGGCAATGAAGCAGTTTTCAGTGGCTAAGAAAATGATGCGAGTCATTGGAAATGGGCCACATCAATATCAGCGATGTGATTGCTGCACCATTTGTGCCAAACTGCGCCGCTTACCCTGCTACATTTTGCCGAAACTGGGGGAATCTGCGCCACGTTGCGCCTAAACTTTATTTCACCTTAATATTACTGAAAGTCAAATAACTCGGGCCTCACCGCTCAATCGAAGCGATACAATATGCTATGCGAGTTTTCAAAATGTTTTCTTTGTCGACTCAAATGACATACTATTTCATTGCATTTCTTACGAAAGACTAACAGTACTCGGAAGTTTCGCACGAATTACCATGTTCATCGTCCGTACTGCTGGAGGGTCGATTAGTCTCTTTGAGTGCGCTTTTCACCAGGCACTGGTGTACTGCAGAGAAGCGAAAAGCGTGTAGTACTCATGAACGATAATAATCCCTGGAGAATGGATTATTATAGTTTATTTTGTCCACCTCGCCTGCACCTTTGCATTAATAGCATTGATAAAGTTGGCATCGCGATTTTGCGTCTTGCTTCGCCGCAGTACACACTCCTCCACAGCCAGAGCCGTATATGGGGAGAGCCTGGCCATTGGGTATGGCGACGAAGGTACCGAAGAGGAGAAAAGTGAAGGGAAAGGAGGAGAGTGCCGAAGGAGTGAGAGAGAAAGAAGGGAGCAAAGAGGAGACGACCACCATTTTGACGCAACACTTGTAGGCGAAGAGCATTGTTCAGGCTACGCGTCGTCCCACTCAGCTAGGAAGCAGCCGGGAGTTCTTGCACATGCGCTCACGCCTTGCACCGCCGGCTGATTGGCTCCCGCGGGAAGGGCCGCCATTTTGCCAGAATGGCGTCAGCGTTACGTCTTGTTTCAGTCTATTTGAAACATCTCCAATCATTTCCTTGATTTGATATTTGAGGTTGTTTTATTTGCAGGGAGGCATACGAGATGCGGGACAAGCTTGCCCACCATTTTGTGACTGGAGGTGCTGTCCCCTGGCAAAACAAGATGGTCATGGGGCCTTGTGACAACTGACTTAGAACAAGAAGTCTCTCTTTCACACTTTATTAGTTTGGCACTCAGTAGTCTGGGCCGTAGAAGTGCTCCCGCTGAGCTTTGTAAATCAGGTCCTCAATATCATGCATTATCTCAATTTGTTTTGTCTCGTGAAGGGTTCTTAATCGCCCGGCAAAGGACGCACAGAAGTGATGAACTGGACCTTCGGGGCCACCTGCCTTCCTCGCACGCCTCTCCCGTATCTCCTCCAAAAGATTTACGCAGGTGCCAACAGGGTCCTGCATGTTGGATCCGCTTGAATGTGGCCTGATGGAACGAAATAGTGTAAGACAGTTTTATAATAACTAGAGATCGTTCACCTTGCTTTGTTGATCAGTTGCTGCTGGTCTCTTGGCTCCTCTTGTTGCCTGCATTTGTTTGAGTGAAGAGGACAGAACAGCAGCTCGTTTTATTTCCCATATGTATATATCCCCTGTGTTAATGTTCTGTAATGGCTTGTGACTTTAGTTTTAACTTCCTATGAAAATTATGAAATTCAAGATTAGGCCAAACCTTTGGCAGGCAGAACAAACTTAGATTAGAAAAGTGAGGCTTACACTGGGCCGTCTTGCTCCGCAAGGTTTGGCAGATTGCTGTCAGCAGGCCTGCCAAAGAGTAAATGCAATGAAGCTTTGATGCAAGGTCGTGCGGCTTTAATAAAATGATCCTAATGTCAACTCACGACTCCATCTCGCTGTCATCGTGCCGAGTATTTCTTGAAGAAAAAAGGTATTCGGCCATCAAACTATATCAACTGTAGCTTTCAGCAGAGCACTGAAACACTTGGGACCCACCTTCCACACCCCAGATGTTCACCGCTGCTAGTGGCACCGCTGGTGCTGGCACCACTGTTGGTGGCGCCACTGCTGTTTTGAGCACCACAATAATAAATCGTTGAATGACAACAAACACATGTGAAACATGACTACTTCGTTCATCTTTTTGGTTACTTCTTGTTGTGGTATGAATATTCAAGAAAAACTTTTTCAACAAAGGGACAATGCAAGATGTCTCGCTTCGTTAAAAGTGTTTCTTGAATTTCCTTTTAATTTTATCTATTTAAAACATTTGTGTGACTAACCTTTCCTCTTCATCAAACTGCAGGTTTGTGTGAAGTCTGAAATTGCATGGGGAGTAATAATATAGAACTTCAGTTATAAAATTAACATTGATTTCAAAAGAGGCATGGCTACATACATTGGATTGGGGGAGACTGGTTCCATGATCTCCATCATCTGCATAAAGTGAGGCCATGTTATTTTGCCCACCTGGGCTGCTCCCGCTCTACTTTTCATGGAGCATATTATCTTGTTGTTGTGTTTTTGGTACGTGTCTTTAGCGTTTTTAAACTTGTTGACGAGGTCCACACCTGCAGAAATGAAACGGTCATTCATTAATTGCTAACAGCAAACCGTGACTGGCTGTAAAAAAAATGATTGAATAATGGGTGAGGCCATGTTCTATTTATTTTTGCAGGCTGAAAGCGTTAACCTGGGTTGGCAGCGCGAGTATTGCCTGAAGTAAGCAAATGTCCGGTCGAACACGTTCTCATAAGAAAATATATCTGGGCGAAGGCCCTCGAACAGCTGAATACTGACATATTAGCGTCGCACTAGAATAAGGGATGTTCAGAATTCACAATTCAAGAACATGTGTTTACTTATTTGAGACTTCTAATGGAACGTGAGCGGTTTTCGGGGCACGACCAGGACCAACTTGTAATCCGCGTCACAAGAAAGCACCGCCAGAGCTAGCTCACGAGCGGAGTGGCCAGTCGTGTCTCAAGCGCTCGCGCGCCCCAGGCTTCAGCAGGCTTTCTTCACTCGGCCGAGACGCCGATTCAAGCACGCCGTCCCAGTTGCTATAATCAGCGTCTCAAGAAAGCACCGCCAAAGCTAGCGCACGAGCCGAGTGGCACGTGAGGCCGAGTCGCAAACGCTTGGCAAGCTTTCTTCAAACAGCCATGCTGATTCTAGCAAGCAGGCCCAGAAGCCCAGATCGCGCTCGGCGTATACAAGCGAGTACGATCGGGTCGTTCAGTTGAATCATATATTCGGAAAAAGTTGTCCTTCACTTTGACGCGCGTAGCTTACGTGAAATGAAAATGGTACGTACCAGGTATCCCTCCCAGGCTCTCGCCGAGCATCGTCCACACTTCATCTTTATACTTGATATCCTTAAATTGTGGATGTCTCTTGTCGTACAAGACGGGGTATTGTTTGATTACATCCAGAAGAACATCAGTCCTCACATTCGTCGACTTTTTTTTTGCGTTAGGCTTAGCCGATTTGGCGACGGTACTCGCGACGGGAGCCATGTTGGAATGAGATCCCGAGATGCTGACGTGACGTCAGCCTCAGTGTCGCGTTGTGATTGGTTGCCGCTTTGCGGTGCGGGAAAGCGGTTGGGAGAAATCGGTCTCGAAGCGGTTGGCAAAAACGCGCCCCAACCGCTCGATCTCAGCCGCTTTGCGGTTGAGAACGCGCGGATCCGCTTCGCGAACGCGGATCCGCTTCCAGTGTGAACGCGCCATTAGGTGCCCTTTCCTGGTTTCGCGGGGTTGCCATCAGCGTCGGTGTAACCACGCTAAATTTAGAGGGAAATTTGACGTCACGTGACCTCAACAGCAATTTAGTTCCCTGCTAAATATAACGAAAAATTGTCGTCACGTGACCTCAACACCAGTTCGGTCTCCAAATTAAGCGGGGTAAAAAACGTCACATGACTTCGTGTCACGTCACCTATGAACAAATTCAGTTTGAGACGTTTTCGTGTGTTGCCCGCTTTTTTCGTCCGTTTAATAAACCACGGTGGTCGCGAGCCGTCGCAATAAGATGGTAGTGTCATCTATCAATATGAACGCCAAACACACCCTGCCGCTGAACCCCTGTCGTCTGCGCCGCTGCCCGCCGTAGACCTTGGTAAGTTTCTTGGCCTTAATTTCCACAGAAAGAGAACTACGCGTTGTAAATTTACAAGAAAAAAATGACCTGTGAAATACACCTTTCACGAAAAGTTTAGATTGCTACGTGCAGGCAATTACAAATTTTCTGAGCTCTATCAAAACCACTGAGTAAGTAAATTTAAAGAAAAGGTTTGGTGCACGTAGAGAGTGCGGTGGTCCTCTAAGGTTATCATGCTTGCAGCAGGCCCAAGGCTAGAGGTGAGAAAAAAGCCAGCAGAAAATTTTTTTTTGTCTTATATCCGCGTTTTGCAACCCACATTTCGTGCCTGTTGCGCAAGTGCTAAATTTAGTGCACGTCTGCGCTTCCCACACGTTTCAAATTTTTTTAAAGTCACTTATTTAGATGTTTTTGAAAACGCTAACCGAGCCTCTAGATGGAACCAGATGTTTACTCTCGCAACTTAGGAAGGTAGCGAGCCTATTTTAAATTATTATTCGACTAGCAGTAACGATTAGCCCCCTATACTGTCCAACTGGCCGTACAACTCACCTGCGCAGCACGCATTTGTGCAAATATCTCTGCCTTAAAACTATAATACCTAAAAGATAAATATTGTATGCAATGAGGTTGTCATTCAATTTATATGTCGGCATGGTGCTCTCTCCAAGACATCCAAAAACATAGCTGCATCTATCTTTTTTTCTTTTGTTTTGGAAAGCAAATAGTAAAACGTGCATTCAACATACATTAATTCCGATTACAGCAAGTAATAAAATTAAGAAAACTGTTTGACCTAAACGGTCAATCTTCACAATTTAAGTTAGCATTTCGCGCCATGCTCAGTGTCTTTGTGAGCTCTATGTTTTCGTTATAGGTCGATGTCTGTGTCTCGTCAATAAATGGCGCGATCTACAGAAAAAGAGATGTGGACACATATCCCTAAATGCATATTCCTTTCCCAACACAGACGGACATGAAATAAATTCGGCATGATATTGGAGAGACTGATTACACACTTCCCCATTCAAACAGGCGCTTCTTAACCAACAAGAAACGATATAAATATCGCTACAACACTCACCCGCACCGCCTTTTCAAAAACAAGTGTCCTCGTTAGCGCAAAGGCCTCCGGCCATTTTTCCAACGCACTGCGGCGATGATAAAGGAAGCAAGGTGAGCGGTGACACTCACTGCCTTTGAAACTCGTTAACGGCGAGTGTCATCGCGAAGCCCCGATTGTTCGCAGTGGTCAGAAGTGTGCCTCGTTTTTAACGAAGGACGAGAAAATATTGAGCTCCGCGGAAGCAGCGCATATTTGCCTGCGCCTGTGTTGCTCCGGGTCGAATTTCCGAATTGTTCGTGGTTTACTAATGCTCACGCGTAATAAAGAAAAGCCTGAAAATACATCATTATTTTCAAACAAGAACAGAGTTTGAAATATATCGAAACGCCCTCACCATACTCCGGCTCTCCGTAACTCGGCAAACGATGAAGGCTAGGGTCGCAATGAGCCAATTAGCTCGTTGGAACGAGACACGCGACTGTAATCTATATTTCTAGTGACTGGCAGTGCTGTCAAAACCACGGGCAGGGCAGATAGAGAGGGAAAAAACGCTTTCTTGGAATTTTAAGCCAGGGTTGATTTTTCTGGTGGAAGAAAAACCGATTGCCTTCTAATAACCTACGACGGAGTCGCAGGTCGACGGAGAATCTTTGAATGTTTCAAGATAAGCTTTCAAAGAGACTGCGCTACACGCAATAACCTCTCGCTTTGCTCCGCTCGAGAAAAAAAAAGTATTATAATATCAGGAAAGGCTGAACTTAGAGTGAATTATTATGACCTTTTTATTAGTAATATTGTATTGTTATACAATTACTAAACTCTTTAACGAGGTTTGCACCAAGCCTCGTTGAAACCGCGAAGGGTTTGTCAGCGACCGCTTTCGACTTTCAAAGTTGCCTCAGGCCTGTGCGTCTGGCGTTGGCTAGCGTCGCCACGTTTGCTTTAGCAGACGATATTCCGCGAGTGGCGTCAGCTATTGCTGGCTTCAGCGTCTGGGTTCTCGGATAGGTCTATTCAAGAGACACTTGTTTGCCATGATGACGGTGAATACAGCAGACGGATTTCATTGCGCGGAAGGGGACGGTGCTGTGGTAAGATCTGGGCCCTATGTTACACGGTGGGACTAAGGGACCCGCACCAATCCGTCTGCTTCGATTGGTCAACGGCGTGGCCCTAGCCAATTGCCCCAGACAGATTTGCCCCGGTTTCTTCGTCCCGCCATTTAGCATAGAAACCCACGTTCGTGTTTGGGATCTTCCGCCGAGCTTTTTAATGAGCAAAGCTTAAACATAAAATGTTAAATACAAGGACTTAAAGAAACATTGAAGAAAAAGAAAAGTTTATTTTAAAGAACCTTGATGGGACACCATTTTTTTTATTGAAAAAATATAATTTTGGAGCAATATTGCTGTTTGCAAATATCTGAGGCAGCAGCGTGCTCGACTCGCACGCCCCAGGCTGCTTGCACGACTGGAAGTTTCCAGATGACTCGAGGATCTTGTTGTTCGTTCGAGCTCGGAAACTCCTAGATACCCCCACCCTTACAAGAAGAGCTTCGCATGGCTGCTTGAGTCAGTCGTCCTTCCGTCGCTGTCAAAGACAGTGCGGTCTTTGTCACTTGATGTTTCTCGGCACAAGTTCGCGGCATTAAACGTTCATTTTAAGTTTTAATAATTAGGTTTATGTTTTTATTCGTGACATTTTGTTTGAGGCGCGGGTTAACGCAATATTGAACAACGGGGCGTATGAACCGTGACATCAACGACGAGCAGTAGTAAGGACTCGAAAATGACCCGGACTATAAATTCGACAAAGCCTATGGCTACGACATCGAAGATAACATGATCACGACTTCGACGGCGCCGACGATGAAACGGATGATTGCAAACACAAACTCCGGTTACGACGTCAACAACCAACCCGACTATGACTTCGATGACACACAGTGTCTTCGACCTTAACGACGCGCCTGACGACGACATTGACTATAGGCCCGTTCACACAGTTGCGTTCGGAGCGACCACTATGCTTACGAACGAATTCAACCGCTGCGACTTCAATGACAACTGTGCGCGACGTGTACACACACATGCAACCGCATGCAACGACACGAATCAACAGCCAATAAAACCCAGCTACGCTTGCAAACATGGCGGACGGTTTCGTGCCCGACGCGGGGTAGCGGGGTCCTCACGGGAGCAGCCCGAGGTTTCGGCTACGGCGTACCGTGACGAAGATCTGCTGTGCCCTACAATAGCTTTGTAAAAGCTGGTTCAGACATCTAAAACGAACCCGTTATCCGCGACTGCGTCCGTTGGGACCGGAACGACCGCTCTGCGCCGCGCGTACACTCCTGCTACCACTGCAACAAGCGCAGCGGGTCGGCAGCACGGCGACCGCCTCTCCGTTGCCGTCAGCTGTTTCAGCGGTACCTCTAAAAAGAAGGGGCGCGCTGCCACTCACTTGCATAACAGAAAATAGACAGACCGTCTTCTATGACCTCAAGCTTTATTACTCTTTTTTTCAGGATACGCTTGCAGGGTAGTGCATTAAAAAAAAAGAAAAAAGAAGCACTACGCCGTCTTGCACGATCACGACTTTAATACACGACTTTGCCAACAGTACAAATCTCGCCACACGCCTTTTCTACGATTATAAAAGACGATGTAATCTTAGCAACGATATAGCAACGTAGAACTATAATTTGACTGACGATGCGAACGTTCAGGATTGCTAACACTAATCACCTTTTTCGGGCGATGAAAACGCGTGAAAATTCGCATCCTTTATACGGTACGCACCAGTAATACCTTGAACTTGAGCACACGCAAGGAATGCGCCAAAAATGAAATCCGGATGATGTTCGAGGACACAAACGCTAAGAAAGCACCGTAGTCGAAGTAAACAAACACGACGGCACGGGCGTTTTCGGCTGTCTTGAGAGTGCCGCCACGAGATCGCCGCACGAGTAGGTGGATCTTCCCTTCTAGTACTTGCTGGGTTATCACAACGACACACGACGAAAATTCACAGTCAAGGATAGCGCTTTTACGGGGAACGATCAGCGTCCACCACGCCGTTCATGTCGACGATCACCACCGACGCCATGTTTGCAAATAGAAGGAGCCTGGCATGACCGGCATGCAACGCGCGCGACCGAGCTCCTCGACCTGTGATTGGTCTGTCGCTCCCGCCGTTCCCGAACGTAACGAAAAAGTTTAGCCCGGCTCAACTCCTTGCGTTGCGAACGAACACGAACGAAACGACCGTTTGGCGCTTCGTTGCTATGGTAACTCGTCGTTCCAACCGGTTGCATTCGTTTGTAAGCGTAGTGGTCGCTCCGAACGCAACTGTGTGAACGGGCCTTTACACAGGCAACGACTCGAACGACTGCGTGGACGACAATC